CATAGGGTGTGCTTTTTCGGCTTACTCAGTTACAGAACGGTATGCATTCACATTAAGACCGCTCGTGCAAAAGCCTCATTACGGTCTTCGGAATGCACAGCTCAGGGGCGTGGGCGGATTTCCCTATGCAGAGCGTGTTGGGGAACCCAAGCAAGAACACTTGTATGTCTGCATGCTATTAAAGAGGAACACATGCTATACGGCCAGTGGAGACCAAATAGCCCAGTTGTGAGCTCATCTTGAACCAGTAGAGCAAAGCTGCCTTGAATCCAATCTAACGTAGATTTCGCAATCACAAGTGACTGATGAGTAAAACGAGTGGGCGTAATCTCGTGGTTCTTGCAGAAATCTATATCACAATGACAATGCAGTCTTGTTCGCTGCGGACGCTGGGGCGTAGCAGGTGGGGGGGGGGGCTAACTCTAGCGCAGCGCCTGCCTCTTCTCCACCAACTGTGGCCTTTGCCATCCACAATGGGCGGAGAACAGGCTGAGCCACGCTAAACCCGGCCGCCCTAAAACAACCATCTTTGCTAGCGAACAGGGAACCGTTTAATGCCAAGTGTAGCACCTCAATGATAAATCAGGAAAAACGAAAAAAAAGATAGGGAAAACACTCACCTCTGTTACAAGGCTATTGTACTTCTCGATATTAAATCCATATTTTACAGCCCGTTTGTAGAACTGCTTCGTGTAAACTCGCTCTCGAGCGCTGGGATATTCGAACGACTGTAACACACATTGAATAAAAGAAGAATTGAAGAAGTATAGGCGCATTTCGCTTTGAAGAGAGCCCTCAACGGTCTTATCGAAGCGCCTCCACTTGGAGGCAGTTGGCACGATAAATCCCTAAGATGGGTAGGCTTAATACGCTGGCAGGACGGAATTCTGCGCCCTCGAGCAGGCGCTGCGTAGCGTCTTGTCCAAGAAAGGTACCCCTATAAGATGGACGACCGCACTTGATGCTCGTATTGCTTCATTTGCTAAGTAAAAGGTGAAGCGAAGGGATTGGTATGAAGCGGCTGCGGTGCTGCATGGGTATGTGAATAGAAACGTGCAGCCGTACTTAACGTAGCCGTTACTGGCAAGCTGCTTATGGAAAACTCGTCCGAAACTGCTTTTGAGTCACTTGACCACGAAGGCTTTTTTTTTGCAGGTTTTTGACCGTTTCACTTCGTTTTTTCGCCATTGCCCCACTACATCGCTTCCTGCTAGCATTTTAGGACGTGTACCTAATTATAGTGCTCACTTCCTTTAAGCTGGCTCATTTCGCAGCTTCACAAGAGATTATAGCTGTCAGCAAGTGGGAGAAACTGAAGAAACCAACCACTTAGCAAAGTTCACCTCCTCTCCCCACTCCCTTTGTCCCCTAGAGCGAGGAGCGTCGGATCAAAAAACGGCGCCGTTCAGGTTGAGAGATAGAACACCTTGTGTATCGATAGTCAACTTTCGGTAGTTCGTTTTGCTATTATTATTATTGGGTTGGGGAATAAGTTCGTTCGGTTTTTTCAAAGAGCTTTATTTAAATGATTTGTTTGTTGTTTGGCAAAGTGTTTGCATTCAATAGAAAGTGCTTTTTCTGCTCTACAAAAATGTGTTATTTTTTGTTAGTATAATTTCATTTTTTTATTTTTCAGGCTGAAGGGGGACCAAGGAAGGCAAAAAACAGCTTATTCGACAACCTACTTTTCTTCGCTTTTCATCGCGGTCAAAATGCAGCTGAAGCCGCTCGTGATATATGCAACGTGTACGTAAACCGCATCATAGGCGAGCGCGCAGCACAAAAATGGTTTGCGGCGGCTTTGACCTCGACGACACGCCTCGCAGCGGACGACCTGCAGAATTCGATGAGGAGCATCTCAAGGCGCTTTTGAAGGAAGATGGTCGCCAAACAAGTCGTGAATTGGCCAAAAAATGAACTGCGATCATAAGACGACTCTCAATCATCTTCATTCAATGGATTTGCCCAGAAACTCGGAGCCTGGGTGCCTCACGAGCCTCAGGTGGGAGCAGGTCATAAACAATGACGGAGAATACATATTTGATTTATTTATTGTTATAAGTAGTGTTTTGGTTTAAATAAAGCTCTTTGAAAAAAAAACCGAACGAACCTATTCCCCATTCCCAACAGATCAACGGATCTCACTTTGGTGAGGCCTGTCACTTCTTGTGAAGCTAGAAGTGGTACAGGAGAGCCAATTCAGCCAGCACACAGCTTGCTGAGCACCATTTGGCGCCCCCCACCAAGGAGAAATGCGCCAAAAAAATCAAAGAAAACATGCCAAACATTTCAGGAGAGCAATTATGTGAATATGGTACTAACCTGTTTTGTGTACAGGTAATAGCCAAACGTCGCGACTACTGTTGCGTAGGTGGCGAAATATGTGACCGGTTCCATGATATCCCATGAATACTCCCACCATGTCAATCGTGCAAACAGGCCTTAACTTTGAAATATGGACCATATGATTTTGCAAAGAGATTCCATAAACAGTGACTAAGTCTCAACATTTCAGGAGCAGAAAGTGAAGGATTGGAAGGCGCTAGGTTTCGATCTACTGTTCTGAAATGCGCCACACACTCCATCCCTTGAAAATCGTGGAGGGATAGACATTATCGACTAACTATCAGGAATAGTAGTTTTTGCTGTGTCGCCAACTATGAAGGTATCGCCCAGTTAGCCATCAGCTTGGGTGAAACGGGAAAGAAAGGCAGCGATCAGATTCGAAGGACTTCCTCACCGAAAAGA